CTCATTACCAAAGAGGAAGAAACGTGGCTATGGCATCGTCGGATAGCTCACGTTAATATGGACCATCTTAATAAGTTGGTTTCAAAAGACTTAGTAATTGGTGTTCCTAAACTTAAGTTTGAGAAGAATCTAATTTGTGATGCATGTCAAAAGGGGAAGCAAGTAAGGGCCTCGTTTAAGTCAAAGAACATTGTTTCTACGACTAGGCCATTACAACTTTTGCACATGGACCTTTTTGGACCTTCAAGAACTATGAGTTTAGGAGGTAATTACTTTGGCTTTGTTATCGTTGATGACTATTCGAAGTTTACATGGACACTCTTTCTTGCTCATAAGTATGATGCACTTAATGCTTTTAAGAAATTCATTAAATTGGTTCAAAATGAAAAAGACTCTCACATTGCATCCATTAGAAGTGCTCATGGGAGAGAATTTGATCAAGACGGCTTTGATGTCGTTTGTGACGAATTAGGCATTGAGCATATTTTTTCAGCCCCCCGTACACCACAACAAAATGGCATGGTAGAACGGAAAAATAGGTCTCTTGAAGAGATGGCTAGAACTATGCTCAATGAGGCAAATCTTCCTAAATATTTTTGGGCGGATGCCGTGAGTACCGCGTGCTACGTGTTAAACCGAGCCGTCATTAGACCGATACTCAAGAAAACGCCCTATGAACTTTACAAAGGAAGAAAGCCTAACCTTTCCTATTTTCATGTCTTTGGATGTAAAGTTTTCATTCATAATAATGGAAAAGATAAATTGGGAAAATTTGATGCTAAGTCGGATGAAGGAATTTTCTTAGGTTATTCTCTTCGTAGTAAGGCATTTAGAGTGTTCAACAAGCGTACTAAGACCGTAGAGGAGTCTATTCATGTTGTCTTTGATGAATTTGATGCTCGCTTGGCGAGGAAAGGTATTGTTGATAATTTTGCAGGTTCTTATGATGATGAAGAAGAAATCATTAAAGAAAAAGAACCGGAAGAAGAGAAAACGCAGGAGCTTCCTATGGAATGGAGAACATTGAAGAACCACCCGATTGACAATGTCATTGGTGACATAACGCAGGGAGTTTCTACTCGTAATTCTCTTAGGAACACAATTAATCACATGGCCTTTGTTTCGCAAATTGAACCAACAACCGTTTTGGATGCTATTAATGATGAACATTGGTCTATGGCAATGCAATAGGAGCTTAACCAATTTAAACACAATGATGTTTGGGAATTGGTGCCTAGACCTAATGATCATTCCGTTATTGGCACAAAATGGGTGTTTCGTAACAAACTCGATGAAAATGGAATAATCACTAGAAACAAAGCTAGGCTTGTAGCTAAAGGCTACAATCAAGAAGAACGCATTGATTATGAAGAAACTTATGCACCGGTTGCACGTTTAGAAGCTATTCGTTTATTGCTTGCATTTGCATCTACAATGGATTTTAAACTTTATCAAATGGATGTTAAAAGTGCCTTCCTTAATGGTATCATTCAAGAGGAAGTGTATGTCAAACAACCCCCGGGTTTCGAAGACTATGAGTTTCCCGAACATGTCTTCAAACTCAAAAAGGCGCTTTACGGTCTCAAACAAGCACCTCGTGCTTGGTATGAACGGTTAAGCAAATTTCTTTTGGACCATGAGTTCAAACGGGGTCAAGTCGACACTACTCTTTTTATCAAGAAAGATAACCAAGACATCCTTTTGGTTCAAGTTTACGTAGATGATATCATATTCGGTGCTACTAACGA